GGAGGCCATCCGACACTCATTCCCCCTCCCCACGCACCCACCCACACGCCATTCCTCTGTTCTCTCTCCCTTGTCCCCCCTCCCACCTACCTCGCGCACTGGAAGCAGCCCCTGGGAAGGCAGCGGGTCTTGGAGCCTGCCCCGCAGCCCCTCCTAGGTGGGGCGGGCCTACCGACGGTGTTTGAAACATTTTTCTCTTTCTCTTCTCCTCTTCGCATTCGAGCTCGCACGAGGGGGAAGAGGGGACAGAGGGAAAAGAGGAGCCTGGATCAATGAGATGGCCTCACTGATCGGCGTTCCCGGTTTCCTTGCTTTCAGGGAGATGAGTCAGCATCTCCTGGCCTCAGCTCGCCGGCAGGCTGCGCGGCTGTCCCGCCATCACTTCTGCACACCAGCACAGCCCTCAGCCGTCAACGGCAACAATGCTGCTATTGCCGGCACTGCAACCATGACCGATGCCATCTCTGCAATGGCCGGCGACTGTCACCGGCTGCTGCAGTTCATTGAGGACCACATGGCGGAATGTGACAGCCTCAGCCGTGCCTACGGCCTCTACCACATCGCCAGATGTGTCGACAGGGCCGACGGACGGAACCAGAGATCATGGATGGTGAGGGCGCTTGAAGGCCATCGGGTCTTGGCCGCCTTGGTGGCTGACTTGCACTCGTCCATCGAGCAAGATGATGCCCTCACGCCGGCCGCTTTCTCGGGTGCTGTGTGGGCCGTGGCCAAGCTGCTCACAGAGGGTGGACTGGGCGGCCATCTCGAGGCACATCCGGCGGTGAGATGATGGGAGGTGGATTGGTATCGGTGGATGTGTCCATCTCTGTTCTGTTCTTTCTTTTGCAGCTGATCGATCGGGTGGCAGATGCTATGAGAAGGCGGCTGCACGAGCTGACGCCCCGGCAGCTGACGACACTCCTGTGGTCCCTCTCGAAGCTGCCCAGGCCATTGACTGACGTGTTCACGGACTCGGCCAGGTGGATGGCTGAAGCGCCAGCATCTTTCTGGGAGGGATGTGAGCCGCGATCCATCGCCCAGCTGTTAGCCGTCTATGCGGCTCTGCCCTCTCAACATGTACACAATACCGCATTTATCGACGTCCTTGTGGCTCGGCTGAGAGGCAGGGCATCGGGTGCGGACTTCCACACGCTCAGCACGGCTGTGTTTGCGCTATCGAGGCTGGGGAAGAGGGACCATGTCATCTTCAAAGAGGTCGCCGATGCAGTAATGGAGAGGGAAATGGCCGACATGTCTGTCAAGGACCTGTCGCGGGTCATGGTGGCTTACAGCTGTGGTGCTCACCCAAAGAACCTTCCTCAAGGGTTCGCCGACCGCCTGGCAGACGGCATCCGTCGAGACTTTGGGCGGCTTGACTGCCGGGGGCTTTGCAGCGCCGTCTGGACGTTGTCCAAAATGCTGCCTTTCGACCATCCCTTCTTTCGCCAGCTGTCTGTATTCCTGTGTGGATCGCCCCAGCTATTCCGGGACTTTACAGCGCCCGATGTGAGCCAGATGGTCTTGGTATATGCGAATGTGGAAGCCATGTCACTCGATCAAGACACCGAGAACCAGCTGTTTGCACTGCTGAACCGGTCTGTCCGTCTGCAACTGAAGTGGCTCGACGCCCAGGCACTGGTGGACACGCTATGGGGGCTGTCAAGAGTCAGGAAGGGGCTGAGAGACCACCGTCTGCTCGCTGAGGCGGTGCAGCATATCGAGGGGAGAGAGGGGAAGTTGTCGAACCGCCAGCTGTGTCGGCTGCTCTCCGCTTTGGCGAATGTGGAGGGGTGTGTGTCGGAGCGGAGCATCGCGAGGGTTAAGGAGGCTGTCAAGGGGCGGCTCGGTTCGATGGGTGGGCGGGAGCTGCAGATGGTGGCTGGTGCGCTGGTGCGGCTGCGTGTGCGAGACGATGATATGCTTATGGAGGTGCAAGGGCGCGAGAGGCAGATGCGGACTGACAAGAAGGGCTGATGCAGTCTGTGTATAGCTGTGGGCTGCATGGCCTGGTGACGGTGGTGCGTCTGTCTAAGCATGTGTTCATGCGCTCATTCGACTATTTGTTGACCGATCGACAGGCCTGTCTGTTGTGTACCTATCTACCCACCTACGTGTGCAAATGACTGTGCATCTGTTTCACCAGAATGAATGAATGACGCGAGTGAGACAGACCATTGCTTGATGTCATGCATTCGGATCTTTGACTTGTTCACAGTCATGCCACAGTACGGGTCACCGAACTGCCACGTACCCACATCTCTCTCCCTCTCCATCGCCCTCACGTACAGCACGACAGCCACCCCACACGTACGTGCACAAACACCCATCTATTGGGCAGCACGGCACATCCTGTACCGCACAATGAATAATTAAGTGCCTCTCGTGCGGGATACAGCACCGACCCGATGCAGTTCTTGCCCGTGATCATCGGCAGACAGGGCAGCGGACGGGCAATCCAGATGGGCGGCGGGATGAGCGGAGGAACAATGTCAACAATCTGCACATAACAGGACAGAGACACATACAAACACACATCTGTCCATGTCTCCCTCCGCCCTTTTACCGTCGCGAGCGAGCCTTGCAGCAGGCCCTTGACACTCATGATGGCCATCGTCGTGAGCATGGCGACAGGTGGGACCATCGCGGCTGCAGGACCGGTGGCCGCAGACAGACTGGCCGTCAATGACTGACCCAGGTCTTTGCCGAACACACGCCGCACCGGGCTGACAACACACAAGGCACACCCGGTGTGTCTCTGTCTTTCCATCCATCCACCTTGGCATTGCATACCCGCCTGGATATGGCGCCTCGTGTTTGGGGTGGTCGCTCTCTGGCTGAGGCGGTGTGCTGTCGTCGCAGTGCGGGCTCGTGGCGTCGTAGTGAGACTCCGACAGCTCTTGTGCGGACCGCGACAGCTCGAAGTCGTCCAATGCGAGTGACAAGAAACGCTCGTACTCAGCCATCGGAAACTGCATGCAACCACACAGACACACACACACATCAGTGTGTGTTGTCCCTCTCGTCTGCTGAGTGCACACCTGTTTGAGAGCGTGTGTGTAGATGGCGTCGAAGTGTTGTCTGATGACATTTCTGTCATGTTCATCGCGAGCAAACCCAGCCACCAGGTGGAACAGGTCGCTGGCCGTCGGCTTGAAGATGTCACAACCGGCCGGAAGCGACGGCCGCTGCACGTCAATCCGGATCGTGTCGTTGGTCGCGTGACACGCCGAGCCGATGCAGTTCTTGCCGGTGTGGGAGAGATCGCATGCCCATGGTGCACCAGCAAGAAATGATGGCCATGGAGAGTGACACATCCCCCTCTCTCTCTGCTTGCCGGTGCGGACGGTGTCACGCGCACGGCTGCCTCTTCCGTAGATGAGCACCCGATACCAACCTGAGTGACACACACGTACATCCACATAGCAGTGATCTTTTCCGCATGAGTCGGTATGGACTTCATCCGACCGATCACTCACCTTGCGATTTCTCGCATCCTCTTCATCAACTCGTCGTCGGCGTCATCACTCTCCTGACCACACCACACCACACCACACACGTCGTGATATCGTGCCCTCTGGGCTGTGTGCGCCATCTCTCTGACGCACCCTTGTCGCCCGTGAGGCCTCGCTGTCAGCATCAACAGTCCTGGAAGAAACATGGCATTGGGAGCTCACACAGTCGACGTTGTCTGCTCGTGGGTGCTTACCTGAGTGGTGACCGCGGTGGCCGGCTGGGCGTCACTGATGGGGCATCGGACGGTTTGGTCGGGAAGAGGCCCTTCCACACCTGCGTCAGTGTGCTACGCCACTTCGGTAGGGACTTGCCGTCGTCCTCGCCTGCACATAGCCGAAAGGACGGACGGACGGCCATGGGCGAGTGACCCACACTACCCGCTGCCCTTTTTCATCCCGCTTACTTCCCGGCTGATGTGGGATTCTCTCGACGTAGACGAGGAACTGTGGGGCGGCGAACCAAGACTCTGATGCATGGACGCACAACCAAGCAACCACAACCAACGCCACACACCATCCATGACAGCCCTCTCCCTCCCTCCGCCCTGTACCTTCATCGAGTGCCACCACTCCCAGCCTGTAAATGTCACCCCATCCCGCACAACCGCCATCAGCAGCAGCAGCAGCAGCAGCAGGTTTGCCCTGCCCTTCGTCCGCCCCCCTGCTGCCGGGGCCTTCATCGCCCGCGCCACGCCACGGATAGTGCAGCAGAAATGACCCGGGTGGGGTCTTGGTGGTGATGGTGGTGTTGACGCTCTTCTCGGAGATGGGCTGGAGCGATGCGAAGGCCGACCTCAGACCACTTCCCTGGGCAGTGCCAGTGGTGGGTGCCTGTGGCGGGATGAGTGGCTTGGTGAACAGGGGCGGTTGCTTCTTGGCGAGAGCCGGCCGGGTGACCGATGTGAAGGCTTCGGTGAGGGGGTCGCCCTGCGATGTCGTAACCTCGAGCATCACTGCAGAACGCAGTCAGTAAGCAACGAAGGATGGAAAATCCTCTATACCCGCTTTGCTTACTTCTGGCGACTCGTTTGTCCATCTCTGACGGCGGTGCTCGCTGGCCTGCCGATGCACTCTTCCTCCCCCTCTCAGGATCAGGCGACCGCGGCGGCCGTCGAGATGGCCCCCCGAGTACTGGCGTCAGTATGGGACTCGCCAGCGCCCCTGCGGTGCTGCTGCTGAGGCCACTGATGCTGGTCGTGTCGGGTGTTGTCCTTTGCCGCGGTGGCTGAGCGGCCGTCTTGTCGCCCTTGCCGCTCTCTCCCTCGGCCTCCGCGTCAAGGTCAGAGAAGAGGGTATCGAGATTGGTGATGACAGGTGATGTGCCCAGACGGCTCCGGGGGGGTCTGCCGCTGAAACTGGGGCTCCCCTGCAGCACTGGGGTCGATGTGCGGCCCACCGACAGAAGGCCGCTGAGTGTCGACACAGAGAGGGAAGACTGGGCGCTGCTGAGAGAGAGGGAGGCTTGCAGCGCAGTGGCGGGCAGGGGGGCCATCTTGACGCGATCGGGGGAGTGGCGGTGCATGCACGCCTCCATGAGCAGGCCCTGCAGCTGTGGCCACAGCGGTGACCGGCAAAAGCGATGCAGTCTCTCTGCTGTCGACGTGTCGGCCGCTGTGTCTGCGAGAGGGGCGTCCTTGTCCTGACTTGCTGGCTCAGGCGGTGGCTGGCGAGAGGGCGGGTTGAGAGCAGGACCCATGTGTGCTGCGAGGAAGCGCCAGTGGAGGGATGCTGGGTGACGTGACGACATGCTGACGACCGGGCCGTGGTCGGCGTCGTGTTGTGTCTTGGGTGGCTTGGTGGGGGCGGTAGGGGTGGTGCCGTCCACAGGGAGGCTGAGTGGAAGATGGGCTTTGCCTGACAAGTGTACAAGTAACAAATGCTCTTGCTGGGTGTGGTGGGTGTGGTGTGGGCGTCCTGGTGCATACCGTACCGTGGTTGGGTGTCCGCTGCATGGCAGGGAGAAGAGCCTCGGGCGCAACCTGATGAATGGAATGACGTGTGATATGACAAGAAAACAAAGGAAGGAGCCACCCAGCCATCAATCCCCAACAAACAGACAGATGTTGCGGTACACCTGTCAATCTCTCTTACCACTCCCACCATGACCAGCGAGTCGAACGCCTTCGTCAGCCCCTCCAGCCTACACACAACACACACAACACACAATCCATCCAAGCCACAGTTTCCACTCCGCTGGCGATTACTGGTCATAGTATGGCGCGTAGGTGACGGTCTTCTGCAGCAGCAGCTGCTCGGCCAGTCTTGTGAGGGCGTTGGTGCAGGGCGGAAGGGTCTTGAAGTCGCCCTCGTAGCCATCGACGGCCTGCAGGGGGTTGAAGTGCAGCGGCGGATGGAACAAAACCCGGAACTTGTTGGCCAAATGCCAAAGGAACTCGCGATACCTGAGGTACCACACGCAATCAATGGGTGGGCGGTGCGGTGCCACTTTGAAGGAGTGGGGCGTGTGTGTGCTGACCACTCCCCCAGTGCAGAGATCTTGCTCGTTTCGACAGTGATGTCCACAGTCCCGATCTGACGGCCACATACACAGACAAGGTACGCAATGAGTAATGACAAACACGCACACTGCTCAATCGACCTGCCTACCTTCTGGCCGGCAGCGGTGCCAGTTGAGGGCGCCTGCGTCGGCGCCGTCTGACCCACCACCCCCCTGACCTCCGAGTTGGTCGGCTGCACTCGCCGCCGCGACATCGTGGGCGTCGACGGCGGCTTGGCAGTGGTGTTAGACGATGCTGATGCTGATGATGCTGCCGCGTGGTCTCTCGCTGGCGGCTGAGTGCATGTGTGCTCATAGGTCATGAGGAACTGCTTGGCGTAGGTCAGCAGCAGCAGGGACTCGTCGTAGAGCAGCCGTGTGATGGACCATTCGGTGGCCAGGAGGCTCTTGAGCAGCGCCAGCTCGATGGAGAGTTTGCGGGCGAGGGGCGCCACCGACGCAGAGAGGGTCTCAGGGGGGGACTTGCCGTCCACAGTCGCCGGGGGGGCCACAGGCGCAGTCAGCTTGGCCGACTGCGAGATGAGGCTCTCCAATGCAGCCATCACAGCCTCGTAGTCCACCCGTCTGGTCCCCACCAGCACCTCTCCGTGGATGCGGGCCGCCTCGGTGTGCGTGCTGACCAGTTTGTGAAGCGACCGCAGGAAAGGCAGAACGGGACTCACTGTCGGCTGACCACCATCACCCTCACCGGCACCGGCGCTTGGTGGCCGGACCCTCAGTGTGTCGAGTGACGCCGCTTGAAGCAGCTCCCATCTTTCGAACTTTCTCAGCAGTGTGCGGGCGAATAGGGCCACGTCGGCACTCACCAGAGCGGCCGGGGAAGTGGCGAGAGCCTCGAATGGCAGCGCCACGCCTCTCAGGTGCCATGAGCGGGTGGTGCTCGTGTCGTAGCTGCGGGCCGGGGAGGCCACGCCCGTCACGTATTGCTGGTCAAAGGACACATACTCCTGCAACCACAAGGCAAGGACATACGTGTGTGAGTGTGTGTGAGTGTGTGTATTGTGCCGGGTGATTGCGCAGACCTGGAAGAGCTGGAAGGCTCTCAGCAGCTCCGCGCCGCCGCAGCTGAGGTCACGCAGCGAAAAGCGCCTCATGCTGTCCTCCACTGTCTTGTGTTGGTTGACGGCGGTGGCATCTATCCATCCCTGAAGGCTGTGGCTCAACTCAGTGAACCCGCTGGATGATGAGCTCATCTCTGGAGATCCACCCACAAATTGATGAATACTGCGAGAGATCTACGTCGCCTGGGGCTGTAGCTGGTCTTCAGGAAGGTGCCTTTCTCCCTCCTCTGCCCCGAACAATTGCAAGCTTTGGATCGGAGGACGCCGAAGTCGTGTTTTGAAGGGTTTTGAAGGCAATACAGCATCGCATAGCCTCTCCTGACAGTCTGTGCCCGACTCCTGCCGTGTCAATGATCCGTTTCATCAGCCGCACCGCGCTTCTCTCTCTGCTGGCGCTCCTGTTCATCATCAGGAACATGGCCACTTCAACCAATGTGCTGCGGCGCCGACCAAGACAAAGCTTCAGCTTTCTGCAGCCTGTTACTGCTCCCCATCTCATGCTGACGCGGCGGAGGAGGCCCCGCCCGATCTTTTCCGTGATGCCGGGCGGCATTCCCATCGACACAGAGGGCAGCAGCGGCATGGACAGGTTCGTCATCGATTCGGCTGTCCACGTGTGGTCCAACGGGACCGAGCCTCATGAGTGGGCGGGTGGTGAGCCGCCAAAGGAGCTGCAGGGGAGTGCGTCGGGGGAGGACCTGGTGGCTCTACTGGGAGAGGCCGGCGTGTCGGGGGCGCTGCTCGTTCAACCCATCAACCACAAATTCGACCACTCATACATGAGAAAGGTACAGATAGACCTGCACAGCACAGCACTGCACACTTTCACGTTCGATAGCTACCCATGTGTCTTCAGGTGTTGCGCCAGTTTCCCAGTTACTTCAAGGGTATGGCGCTGGCGGATCCATCCGGCTCTTCTGACGAGGCCAGGCAGCGGTTGAATGACCTCATCGACCCGGCGAGTGATGCCTTGGCGCCTGGCGACTTTCCTCTGGTCGGCGTTCGCTTCAACCCAAAGCTGTGGCCGCCAGACGTCAAGATGAACGATGACGTGAGTGGAGTGAGCAAAAGTGAAAGCACACGCAACTGCGGTGCACAGCACACGCGTGTGTGTGTATGTATGTGTATCGATCAGGTGGGCCAGGCCATGTACGAGCGGTGCGGGCAGCTGAATGCGCCTGTGGGGTTCCTCTGTATGGCTTCGTTTGCGACGTATGCCGACCAGATCAACGACCTGGCCCAGAACCACCCGTCCACCCCCTGCATCATCGACCACTTTGGCTTTGTGATGCAAGACGGCCAGCTCGACATGGGGTCGTTCAGACAGCTCCTCGACGCACTGGAGCGATCACCACAGATGCATGTGGTCAGTGCAATGCGCACACGACGGCACAAGAAGCCCGTAAACAGAGCACTCATGTGTATCCGTGTCTGTGTGGTGCAGAAGGTGTCTGCCTTCTTTCGTAACTCGGTTGAGGGCTACCCCTACAGTGACCTGTTGCCGTTGATGCGTGAGTTGCTGTCTGTGGCCGGCTGCCACCGCCTGATGTGGGGCAGCGACTTCCCCTTTGTGACGCTTCAAGACGACTGCCAGTATGCCGGTGCGTCGCGTGTGTTGGTGGATGAGTGGGCTGAGAGGGTGCCGCTCTATGAGGAGGAGCTGGACATGGTGTTGGGAGGAACGGCAACCAAGCTGTTCGGGCCGTGGGCTGACAGATACGTGTGAATGCATTGTGCGATGGATGGATGGATGGACTCTGTTCGTCCATGCGCCACACGGTTGGCGACTCATGTACATTTCGTTTCTGGACTCATTATGTGCCCTCATGGTTGGTGAATGGATGAGGCATTCACACTCAGTCACGCATACCATACAAGGACAAATGTCTCGACAGACAATTGTCAGTCTACACACATCGGCCCGGCCAGCCTATTCATATTCCTTCATTCCCATCCCTCCACCCTCTGCACACCAGGCTGCCCATCAGCACCCCGCAGACACACATAACCGGCGAACGTGCACACAGTGGTGGTCTCGCTGTCGTTGCCATACCCCCGCACCACTGGCTCACTGATGCCATAACGCACAGCCTCGGCACACCGCAACATGTGCACGACGTCACGCAGCCCAAAGGCCGCCTCCCTACTACCTGCCTGTCCGCCCCCTTCTCCCTCTCCCTCTCCCTCGCCCTCCCCCCCTCCCGGGTGTGTGCTGGGGGGCATCGGAAAACACGTGTGCGCGAACAGCTGCTGTCTGTCTGCACGGCTGGCTGCATCACGGGCACGCAGCAGGAAGAAACGCAGAGCAGCATTCAGGTTGCGGCCCAGTGTGGTGCGGGGGGAAAAGGGCAGGGGGGGGACATGCACCAGAAACGAGCCAACATAGCCAGCTACGCTCTGACTGAACACCCTGTGTGTGCGTGAGACACACGACATGGCGCGCAAGGGAGAGAGAGCCTCATTGACGCACTGCATGACCAACTCTGGCACAGAGCGGTTGATGAATGAGTGGTAAACAGAGAGGATGCGGTGGCGATACAGATCAGCGCATAGGTCGTCCGCGAGGGCCAGGTCGATCGACGCACCATGGCGGATCAGGCAGTGCACGGCAGAGTAGCGCTGCTCGAACGCAGCATACAGAATAGGTGGTGACGTGTCGCCCTGCCGACCGCTCACATCCACGTCCGCCCCTGCCTCCCCTGCCACCCGTGACAGCACATCCACGTCAAACAGAGCCTCTCGGTCGATGGCAGGTGGCCGAAAGCCCTTGTCGAGGAGGAAGTGCATCACATGTGTGGCGTGGGGCGCCGTGCCACACGCCACACTCCACGCCCTAGCGCCGTCCCCCTCGCCGAGGCCGTCATCTGCTATCTCCAGCAGCTTGTCGAGGATCGTGAGATGGTCAGCAGGGTCGTCCAGGATGAGCGCACAGGCGCGGCTAAGCAGCTTCTCGCCCATCAGGCTGGGTCGCGGGCTGGCAGGAGGTGGCGCCTGCTGTGCCGCATCGATGAGCTGCGTCACCGCGTGCAGCAAAGTCTTGGCACTGAAGGCGCCATCTGGGGAGAAGTTGCCCATCACATTGATGTAGTAGATGATCATCCGCAGAGCGCCCATCCCCTGCACCATGGTGGCTCCATGGCGCAGCAGCACCACGATGAGGGGCAGGGCGCTCTCGAGAGCCGACGGCAATGGGCTCACACTCGAATGAAGGAGGAAATGAGGCGGAACCGGTCTCGAATGAATATCGAGAATGTCGGGTCCCTCCCGGACAGCGAGCAGCACAACCTCGAGGACCGTCTTGCCTTCGAATACACGGTTGACGTCCGCCCCAAGATGAATCAGCCGATCGAGCACAGCCGCACCAGCCTGGCCCTGAACAAGACCAGAGAGCAGCGGCAACCAATTGGCGACCAACCATAGAATTTCGCCCGACTCGCGGCACCTGATATCGGTGTGCGGCAGCGTGAAGCAGCGGTCCCATAGCCTTACGGGGCTCATCGTCACCGTCACTGACTCGAACAAGCTCCACATGCGGATCAATGGTGTGCTTGTCCATCAAGTCTAGCGCCGCCTCTGCCGACAGCGTGCCGTCCTCGATGCCGCTGGCCAGCTGCCATGTGGGAGATCTCTCGGTGAGGACCACCTCAAGCCGCGACATCGCTACATTGGCTCATCCGCTACCGCGATGAGTCCAACCCTTAACAAGGGGGAGGAAAGAAGAAGTAACGCAGTGAGGTTGGAGGGGTAGAAGGGTGTGAGTGAGGTGCAGTAGTTGGCACAGATCTGACGCGAAAACTCTCGCCCTCAATGAGTGCGAGCTTGAATGAAGAAACCCTTGACCCCCGAAACCCTAGACGTGACCTCGGCTTCTTTCCTCCGGTCCTTTCTTCCCTTCTCGGCTGTCCCGGCATAGATCTCACGATGAAGGTTTTGTTTTTCCTCGCAGCCGCTCTCCTGTCCATCCCGTGCGCCGCTCCTCAGGTAGGCAGGCACCGACGGACCACATCTCCACAAATACGGCATATCCAGACCCCTCTCCC